TTTATTTGATAGGCACCTAGGTTAATTCCATATCTTTGCTATTGTGAATAGTACTGCAACAAATACAGACATATAGGTATCTCTTTGGTGTGTTATGGTTTAAATGTGAGGTGTCCCTCCAAAGCTCATGTATGACACAATGAAAGAATGTTTAGAGGAGAAATGATTGGGTTGTGAGAGTCTTAACCCAATCAATGAAATAATCCCCTGATAGGGATTAACTGATTGATAACTGAAGTAGTAGGGTATGGCTGGAGGAGGTGGAAATTGGGGGCATGGCTTTGGGTTATATATTTGTATCTGGAAAGTGGAATCTCTTGAGAGATCTTTCTGATTACAATGTGAGCTGCTATCCTTTGCAACACTCTTCCACCATAATGTTCAGTCTCACCTAAAGCCCAGAAGAATGGATTCTGCTGTCTATAGATTGAGACCTCTTAAACTGTGAGCCCTAAAATAATCCTTTTCTCCTTTACAGTTGTTTTGGTTGGCTCTTTCAGTCAGAGCAGCAAAAGAGCTGACTAAAACAGTATGCTTTTTCATTTCCTTTGGATATATACCCAGATATGAGACATATGGATCATATGATAGCTCCAGTTTTACTTAAGAACCATAATGGCTTTACTAAATTACCAGCAACAACATATAAAAGTTCCCTTTTCTCCAAACCTTTCTCAGTATGTTATTTAATTTTTGTGATATTAGTCATCTGGAGTGAGAGGGTATGTCATTGTAGTTTTGATTTGTACTTATCTGATGGCTAATTATATTGACACATTCTTTTGTGTATTTGTCAGCATTATTCTTTTTTTTGAGATGTGTTTATTCAGATCATATGTACACTTTTGAATTGGATTACGGATTTCTTTTAAGAATTTGGCATCCTTATATATACTGGATATTAGCCCTCTGTCAGATGTATAGTTGGCAAATGTTTTCTCCCATTATGTAGCTTGTCTATTTGTTGTTTGTTGTCTTTGCTGTGCAGATTTGTAGGCTGTCAATTTTTGCTTTTGTTTCTTGTGTATTTGAGGTTGTGTCCAGAAAATCACTGACTTTAGCAATGTCTTGAAATGTTTCCCCACATGTTCTTCTGGTAATTTCAGTTCTGACATTTAGGTATTTGAACCATTTTTGAATTGTTTTTTGTATAAGATGAATGATAGGGGTTTGTTTTAATTAAGTCTGAATGTGGACATTTATAATTTTCCCAAAACAATTTATTAAAGAGGCTGTACTTTCTCCAGTGCATAATTTGGGTAACTTATTCGAGAACTAGTTGGCTGTAGACGTTTGGGTTTATTTTTTGGATCTCCACCCTTTTTTATTGGTCTGTTTTTATGCCAATACCATGCTATTTTGATTACTATGGCTCTTAGTATGTTTTGAAATCAAGTTTTTTTTTTTTAATGCATCCAGTGTTGTCCTTTTTGCTCAAGGGTCTTTTGTGCTTTCACATAAATTTAGAGTTGTCTTCTAGTTCTGTGAAGAATGTCATTGGTATTGCTTTGAGTAGTGTAGGCATATTAACATTAATCTTTCCAATCCAAGAACATGGGAGGTACTTCTTTTTCTTGGCTAAGTTTATTCCTAGGTGTTTTTTTTTGTTTGTTTGCTTTTTTTGAAGTAAAACTGCTGTCATAATTTCTCAGGAAATTTATTATATAATTCATTATATAAAAGCTACTGATTTTTAAAATTTTTGTACCCAGCTATTTTACTGAATTTGTCAGTCCTAATAGTCTTTGGCTTTTTCTGAATATACAATCATGTCATTTGCAAACAGAGCTAAATTGACTTCCTCCCTTCCTATTTGTATGCCTCCCCCCTGCCCATTTCTCTGAAAATTTGAGTCTCAAACTTTCAGTTCTAAATCCGATCTTGTCAGGTCTTTTGGTCACAGCAATGACAAAGCTGATTAAAATACATTATTATGGGAGAAGTATTATCTCTATTTTAAGGTAGAATGGAAGGGAAACAACCTGGTATCAGATTAGGGTTTCAGCTGAAGGTGTCTACTAAACAAGAGATATTATAAGTATTAAATAAAATATTACATATACTTATTATCAATACATGCAAGCAACAGTGCCATTTTTTTTATGTAGCCTTATTTTCCCCTTAGTTGTTTAAAGACAGAAAACATTTCTTTTTTAATCTCTATCACCAAGGTCTATGTTATGGTTTGGATGTGAGGTATCTCCCAAAGGGTATTGTGATACAATGCAAAAAGTTTCAGAGAAGAAATAGTTGGGTCACAGAAGTCTTAACCCAATAAGTGAATTAATCTTCTGATGGGATTGAGTGGTAACTGAAGCAGCATGTGGGGTATGGCTGGAGGTGAGGGCGTATCTGGCAAGCAAAGATCTTTCACTTTGCTTCCTGATCATCATGTGAGCTGCTCTCCTCCACTGAACTCTTCCACCATGGTGTTCCACCTCACCTTAAGCCCTGAGGAATGAAGTCTGCTGTGGATTAAGATCTCTGAAACTGTGAGCCCCCAAATAAACTTTTCCTACCCTATAGTTGTTCTGGGCAGATCCTTTTGTCACAGTGGTGAAAAAGCTGACCAAGACAGTCTAGAATAGCATGTAGCAATAAAAACTTAATTGCCTGAATAGCATTTTTACATTTTACCACTTGTTTTCCCTTACCATTATCTTTCAATTTTTTTTTGGAGCCCCCTGTGATTCAGTTTCTTGTTTGTATTATCTCATCTAAAATTTTCCTTCTACTCATTTACAGTGCCACCAACCATTAAGCTTCTCTGTATTCATGCATTTTAATGACTTTCTGCTAACCATTCATCCCATTTTGGGCAAAGGTATTAAATATTTTTATTCCTGAAAATTTTAGGCATTAACAATAGTAGTTACTGTGAGCTGCAGAGAAAGGGGTATTTCTTTCTTTTTTTTAAATAATTTTTTTTTAAAATATTTATTTATTTATTTATTTATTTTTTAGTTTTTGGCAGACACAACATCTTTGTTTGTATGTGGTGCTGAGGATCGAACCCGGGCCACGCGCATGCCAGGCGAGCGCGCTACCACTTGAGCCACATCCCCAGCCCCATAAAGGGGTATTTCTTGATGGCATCCATTTTATTTGCTCATGCTATTTCATACTTTCAGCCAGTTCATTCACTTCTTATCAAGAGGTCACAAGTTCTAAATTTGATTCCAAGTTATTACAATGTAAAATCAAGCCTAAATGAAAACAATTACCATTTAAATCCTTATGTCTATAAACCTGCATCTTATAAAATGTAAGATTAAACTACAGAAGATATATTTTCTTTGCCTTGATGACAATGTTAGGAAACACTTTGAACTGTGTGAAAATATATTTTTTTCTTTGCTGTACAATGAGAACAAATTAAAGGATAGTCATTTAATACCATTGAGACACATATATATGTATGTGTGTGTACACACACACACACACACACACTCAACCCCCTTCAGGGGGATTTTAAAGATAAATTTTCCAAATTACACCTCCAAGCCTTCTACCAATTCTGCCATAACCTCTGACATTATGCAAAACTGAAGCTCAAGGAGTTCATTGTATTAAAAAAAAAAAAAAGTTGGGCTGGAGTTGTGGCTCAGTGGTAGAGTACTTGCCTAGAATGTGTGAGGCACTGGGTTCAATCCTCAGTGCCACATAAAAATAAATAAAGGTATTGTGTCCATCTAAAAAACTAAAAACATTTAAAAACAATTAAAAATATATACTGAAAAAATTAGAAAGCAATTGAATGCAATGTTTAACGGTAACTCAGAAGCCGAACAGGATTAACTAAGGGCAGGCAACATGGAACTCATGAGCACTCTTCATTTCAGCAGGAAATCTTCATAACTAGAATAGATATTAAAGGAAGTGAACATTTTACCCAACTTTATTATTCAGGGAATAGAACTTGTTTACTAACAGTATCTTGGTGATGAATTTTTCTTTGCATTAAAATAGGCCGTTTTCAAAATACAACCTGGTAGGAAAATAGAAGTTAAACACTTCCCAGCAGAATTGATGAAGATATGTTTAAAAGTTTTTCGACAGAAAAAACAAGTCATTGGGTAAAGGATATATTACATCCTTTTGATTTAATGTTATGTCACACAAAGTATAAAAACATAAAAAAGGTAACTTCTAAATCTACTGAAAACAATGAGTTTAAGTCTTTTTAAAGGCAAAATTCTTATTTCTTTAAAATTTAGGTATAAATTAGTATCAGTATATGTACATATTGCCCAAACATAAATATTTACACTTCTGAAAGTGGAATTGTGGTCCTTGCTACCAAGTTAGAGCACATAATTTTCTGAACTAAGGTAATATACTTTTTTTGAATCCCCTTGAAATGAATTAAATTTGTACAAATGAGACTTCAATGAGTTTGAAGAAGGCAAACATACAGCACTCATGAAAAACCGGTCATATTTAACACATTAACCTGAAGAGCACTAATGTCATGGTGTGTCTAAGGTCAACTGGGTACTCTGGTTGAAATGATTCACACTTAGACCATTAGAAGGTCTCACACAGTCAATTAATTTGAACTGATGATTCTTTGATAGATAACTTCTAAAACTACTAAAAACTAGGAGTTGAGTCTTTTTAAAGGCAAAATTATCTTATTTCTATAAAATTTAGGTATAAATTAGTATCAGTGTATGTACATATTGCCCAAACATAACTATTCACACTTCTGAAAGTGGAATTGTGGTCCTCACTACCAAGTTAGAGCACCTGATAGGATATGTCATTCCTGGGGTTCAATAAAAATAACTCCTGATAAATATGCAGATTCTGCATCTAAAACATGACTCATTTGGTAAATAAGATTTTAAAAATATAAAAGAGAAAAAACCCTACTCTAAACGCTCAAAGATCAAATCAGCATTAACTATATCCCAAGAAATTTCACTGTGAGGCAGAGATAAAGTTCATAGACTAAAACAACTCCCCAATGTCAATATTTCTCTGATGGGACTGTGAACTCTGTAGAATGGCATTTTATTTAACAGACAGCATGTAATTCATACATATCCATTATCAGTGCCTTGAAAATCAAACAACTTTAAAAGTTAGCAGCAGTTTCTGCAAGTACAAAAATACACATTTATTACATAACATGTGGTAATAAAATTTGTCAAGATATATTATACAAACTCAAAGCATTTTAAAGCATCAGTCTAATATATTACAGATTGATGATGTATAATAAAATGACATGTAACCTGCTTCAAATCATATAATACTTTACAGCAATATTAACAGACTATTCACATTAAGTATCTAAGGGAGCAGAGTGGGAATAGTCATTAAAGAACCTAAGCAACTATTTTCTTCTATGCTTCAAATTAGGTGGGTAATTTTTCTATTTGTCAATATGAAAGAAAAAAGGCTATAACTATTATTTTTGGTAAGTACAGAAGTAAGTTATTCCAGAAAGACACTCTAAAAGCTTCATTCACATCTTGCAATTCTGCCAGTAGTATGCCTAAGGGTAAGGGGAGTCCCTGCTGACTTAATATATTAATTATACCATAAAAGATGCATATGGACATATAGTATTAATATGGGAGTGGTTGGTTATAATATTAATATGGGAGTGGTTGGTTATAAGGTGAAATCTACTTCACACATCTGTGACTGAGATGGCCAGTGTCATAAGCTCTTTGGACCTACAGGTGCTACCTCTAAGGGACATGACCCTGTTTGCCCTAATCATTTTAATCATACTCTTTCCCCCACACCATGTTCTTGTCTCTTGACTCATGGTTTATAGATCTCTATTTCATATTATATCCATAGACCTTTCTTCTCTTTCTTTAAAGGTTATAACGGTTACATCCCCTCACCTGGAAATAAATTATCAGGCCTCCCTAACCAATTTGGAGGCATATCACTAAAAAGAGATGTGCATCTAACTATTCACCTATAAGAAGTTGCTTAGAACCAACAGGTTTGGATTTAGGGAAAGGTTTTACATGATTTCCTCCATTACCATACATGCTTTTCTTCTTAATGCTTTGATTAGTGGTCTTTTTTCTTGCCTACTTATTTAAAAACATTCCACAGAAAGTGGATGGTTTCTTTATACCATTCCCTTTTCTCTCTGTCTCTGATTCTTCAATTTATGATATGTTGGTCTTCTCACAACACTGATCTCAGACTTGTTGACACAGGTAGGCTTCTACAGAGGGCACTTTCTCTAGCCCTGTGCATGCATCTCTTAAAATCTCATGACAGGATCAATCCCACGTTTTAAAAAGGAAAAACCTCCAAAATATTAGATGCTGAAAATTTTAGTATACAGTTTTTGACAAGTTGTCTCAATAGAAAGAAGTGTTTTGTTGTCCTAAGTATTAGCAATGATTATCCTTATATTACCTATCCCAGATATTTTATAAAAAGAGGTCATAATAATTACTGTCTTTATGTTATTATTAGCTAAGTTTCTGTTCTTGCAGACATCAGACTCTTACTGTGGTTAAATGTCTTTGGTTAAATGTCTGTCCCCATCATCACACACCACTACAGGCCCTGCATCTGGGCTGTCCACATCTTCCACAGTTATAGAGTTGGTTGAGGCCCTTCCCCAAGCCATGGGACCAGCAGAAGAGTGCCCTCCCCTCTCTCCTCTCTCGTGGGACTTTGTACAAAGCTTGAGTTTGCTTTCCACTAGGCTGAATGGAGAGCCACAGAGTTTCTCTGAATCATGACAGGGATAAGAACTATACCATTGGGCTGTCTGCATAGCTCCAAATCCTTCAGCTACCTGGAAGGGTATGTCTTTCTGTCTTTCTTGCAGTGAGTTGGCATGAGAAGCATGAGGAGGTAACTCCAAGGGTCCTTTTAGGGAACAGATTTTCTTTTCCTCTGGTCTGGCTGCCTTTACTTTCTTTTTGAGAGACCAGTTTTTCAAACTGGCCACACCATTTCTCAACCATGTGCTGGGATGAAGAGTTACAGAATGCATTTGTGAATGCCACTCTACAGTATTGTCCTTTTTTGTATAAGCTGGTTGATTGCTGGCCTGCCCTGTTGAGGGACCAGGCATTCCAGAAATGAAGCTAGAACTACTAAAGTCAGAAGAAAGCTCTTCTTGCTTTCTTTGAGCCTGAAAAGTGCAATCTATTGGAGAGGAAGTTTCAGTGGGCGTGAACACAGACTGTTCAGAAATTTGAGAAAAAGCACTGTCCTGGGAGCTTACTGAAGAGCCAGATGGGGAAGTGCCTGGCGAAGATAAGCTGGAATAGCTGGCTCGGGGGCCAAGGTTTAGTCTAGGGGGTAAAACCTTCTCAGTGCTTTGGTTTGTGGAACTGCTCTTGCCCACCTCAATCCCCATGACTAAACTCTGATTTATAAGCTTTTGCCCCTCCATTTGCAAAGACTTATGCCGTTTGAGATAATCCTCCTCTCCATGCAAGAGACCAGCTTCACAGCTGGTTTTATGTTGTTTCTTTGAATAAATCCCTCGGAGATAGGTCAGTTTGCAGTTCTGGTCATCTATGTTAGGCTCTGAGCAGCGCCGATGTGTCCTTGAACTCTTGGGGGCATCTGCTGTGTGTGGTGGGGAGTATCCAGATGAATCTGGATCAAAGGTTTGGTTCCTGGAATGATCCCGGGAGGGTATATGACTATAAGATGCCACAGAAATGGCCATGGGCTTAGACTTAGTGAAAAGTTTCACATGATTTCCTTCATTACCAGAGAAGCTTTTCTTCTTAATGTTCTGATTTGTGGCATTCTTCTCATTGACATCAGTGCCTGTTACTGAACATGTCCTACCCTCTTCCTGGAGAGACTGATTCTGCTTCAGACAGTCCTCATCTTTTTGAGAAAGGATTACATCACAGCTGGACTTGCGTAGCTTTTTCTGGTAAAACTCCCTGAGATAGGAAAGCTTTGAGTCTAGGTAGTCAATGCTCGGTTCTGAACAGCGGCGGTGTCGCCGCAGGATTTTTGGAGCATCTGTTGTAGTTGTGGACAGGTAGCTGGGTAAACAAGTGCCAGATGGGGCCCTGGCATGTTCCCCCAGTGCAGCCTTTCTATACATTCCTGAAATGTTCACCGGCTTTGTCTCAAGAGGCTGCTTCATTTGAATGTCTTCATCTTTAGAATGGTCTAAGTCAAAATCACTCAAGGTTAAAAGACCTTCCACCTCAGGCTGATCAAGGTCATAGTCACTTAGGGTTAAGACAGAGTCCATACTTCTGCTACCCTGACCAAGTTTCTTTACCAAATCACTACATGGAGCATCAACATCCTCATTTAATTCATTTTCCAAGCTGTCATAGGAGGAGTCATTCAGTTGGAAGCAAGAGATATCTGTCAAAAAAAGCAAACTATAATCAACAAATTTACTTACCACAAATATAGCCCATGCTGCCATCAAACTATGCTTAGATTAATGTTCTTTACATGTAGTGTTCAAATTCCTACTCTCAAGAAGGAAAAAGGATGTTTTGCAGTCTTCCCAACTGCTAGTGCAGAAGAAATAAAAACCTGTTTGGTATACTAGATTTATCTCAGTTACTAATGAAATGGAATTTCAACAAACTAAGACCAAAAATGTTGAAAAATAGGAAGGAATTAATGGCAGGTATACTTATATTTGAATAAGACTATCTTCTAACATAGATTGCTGGTGATTACACATAATTAACTCTAGTCTTGAGGACATCATTAATTAACCCTACCAATTTCTCTTTTTCAAAGTTCTTTAAAGTTAAGTTCATTACCTTACTTAATCTTTACAACAACCATAGACATTATTATCCACATTTAGATATTGTTATCTACATTTTATAAATGAAGGTATTGATGTGTGGAGGCACAGAATAACTGGCCAAAGATATATAAGAATTCATACTTTAGAGATTATATACCTTTGAATTAAGATTCCCCCAATGATCTAGTTGCTTTCAAATAGTTTCATAGAACAAAGAATAGCATCTCAGGATCTACTAGAAGGAAGAAAAAACTCAGGCCTGGCTCTGGGCCTTCTATTCCAGTTTCAATCACTGCAGTCTATACATATATATATAAAATACACACACACACATATATAAATTATACACACATATAAAATCTGTATGTGTGTGTGTGTATACACAAACACACACACACACAGGTATATGTGTATGCATAAGAATGTGTTAGGTTTCCTCAAAGTTTTATTTAAAATAAAGGCTTCAACCATCATGGCACAGCACGCAACTCACTTCCTGAACTTCTTAACCCCAACATGCTGTTAACATACCCTGACCTACTAGCAGGCCTTCTAAAGAAGGAAAGAGAGCCCAGAGCCTTACTGATCTAGGTCAGAGGCTCCCTTCATTCTCAGAGCATCAGGACAACCACTGTCCTAGCATCTTCACAGACATCTGTCTAGTTCTTACATAAACCAATCCACTTCCTCACAATACCTGGGACATTCTCTCTAGTGTCACATCTCACTGAAACTTCTCCCAGGAGGGAAGTGATTTCTTCTCCAAATATCCTACAGCAATTTTCAATCAGAAATTGTATAAGCAGGGAAACCTAAACAAAAAAGGACAAAATTAAAGTGCCACTTTTCATGTCATATGTTTATAAATGTTCATATATGAATCCTGATTTTTTTAAAATAAGAAAATGCAAAAATTCTGAGAAATTCCTTTTTTTTAAAAGTATATAAAAGCATACTACTTGTATATTTTAAAAGTTTCTCCTAAAAATCTATAATACTTTCAAGAGTAGTATGGACACAGAAACTAATTTTAGTGCACTAGTTAAAATTATTATTTTTGGTTTTGGTTTAATGATAACCCTTAATACCAGTAGCTCCTTCTTCAAAATGAGGGTAATTTCAAGTATTCTCTATAGGGCATTTGGGAGTAGAGAAATATATATTGCTATTAAACTTCATAAAATACCAAGAGATAAAGATTTATAAAAGTATTTCTTGTATAAAGAGCAGGTTTGTTATAAGTTTGGGAGGAGAGTTCATGAAGGAGAGAACTTGAGAGAAAACTTATGGTTTTACTATCTAGTCTATATCCATGTACTGTCTTGTATTATACTCCCTAACTGGAGGCACTTTGGGGAAGAGGAAAGAGTTACTACTGAACTTTGTGCCTCCCCTGAGACGTATTAGAACCTTTCTGTATTTCCTTATCCTAAGAGCTAAGGCCAAGGGGCAGGAGAAATGTTGGGAGCAAAGGGAACTGATATTTCCAAACCCCTTATTAATAACTAGGCATTACAGGGGTATGATTTCTAGCAACTATTATGTCATCACCACCTCCTTATTTTAGATGAGGATGTTGTATATTTGGTAAGAGGTGGGTCTGAAAATTGAACTCTGGCTTGTCTTACTCCAAAGTCCTTATTTATTTTTTAAACAACTGCTTTCTTATCATCCTGTGGTTTCAGTTAGTTCTACTGGTTAGCTTCCTTAAAGGGAAAAGAGAAATAACCGCTATAACTTTTCTGCTTACATCACCTTCCTATAGTCTATCAGAATAGGAAAGAACACTCCATAGTCAGTAACTGAAACTTATAACTCAAATTTCAGTGTAACTATATACATAAGCTATTTTAAAAATTGTCTTTCAGAGTACATTTTCAAAATGGGGACACAGTCCCCAGTCCCTTAAGGCATAAAAATGAAAAATTTAATTACCTTTTTTGTAAATTCACTTTCTAGTTCTGCGCTGGAGGAAGTAGGAGGCCAAAGAATGCTTGGAGCTACACATACTGCTAAATTAAATGCAGTCATCTGATTGGATGAGGAATGTTGCTCAATGTTACGTAATACCCCAAACAGATACTTTAGGAGAACAACATTGGCTCTTGGAAGCTGGTCTAGTAGCCTAAAGACAGAAAAGAAATACACTTTTTAAGCAAGATATTTTATTAAAAATCCTATAATAAAGACAAGGCAACCCTTATTTTTTATGGGGAACCATGAAAATCAAAAGGATTTTCCAGAGTTTCAGTCATGTGGTACTATGCAAAGAAAGTACAGAAAAAGGGAGAAAATAAGCACTGGAAATTTTTTTGTTTATATATTATCTTTATAATTTAATGAAAAACTGTAGAAAAATGTCTCAGAAAAATGCTGCCTGAAATATTTCCCCTGAAACTAGTACAATGTGTTTTAACTTAGGTAAATATTGCAACATTTCAAAATATTCTCACAAAAAGCTTTTTGATAATGTGCTTCATTATTTTCAAGTAGCAACACAGGAATGCTTTCTGTTGGTGAGAACCCAAAATTAATCCAGTAGGACTTCTAGGTCTGTGAGCCCGGGCCCTGTTCTAGTTGCTTCCAAGGTCAGTCTTCTTCTACATCTGTTATTGGTATTACTCTCACATATAAGCCAAGCTTATATTGGTGTATTTTCTATTGTTCCCATTTTAAGGACTTTTAAGTGATCATTCACTGAAAATTATTTTTACTACCAGTGTGAGTGTGCATATGTATGATATACATGCTGATACTCACGACTCTTTTTTTCTATAAGAACCTGAAAACTTGAAGAAGGTAGTCTAATTACTACTGTACAAATAACAAAGGCCTTTCTTCAGCACAGAGGACTGACAAAGAGCAAGGTGATAGGGATGTTATGAAAGACTGTGAGATAGATCAGAAGATAGGGTGTAAATCAAACATCTAGCATATGATTTTGGGTTACCTGATTTTATAAGGGCCTTTGAGCTATTTTACAAAACTCTTTAAATTGAAGATAACTGACAACAGTTACCTAGTACTTGTTTATAGAATAAAATCCTGTCTGGTGGAGAAAAAGATTGACTTATCTTCATCACTGCCCTGGTAGAAAAAGCCAGATTTGTATGTCTCTGTAAATTCATTTCAGTATTTCTGATCCAACTGTTATTAAGTTTTGGTACTTTGAAATCTTCTTTGAACTGGATGTAACATCTTAATGATTCCTTCATTAATAATTTAAATAAAATCTTTCATAGGTTTCTTTTATATTTGCACTAGTGTTATGATTTTATCTTTTTTTAAAATAAACATCATTTATCAATTTGTAGAACATAATGTTTTGGACAAAGTATAAAATTTGAAGCTTACTATATATTATTGGTTCACACCAAACTATAATGAAAATGGATGCAGCATTTTGTTATGGCTTTTGTTTCTGGTGTCTTCAATAACTATACAACATTATACTGTTAAAAGATCTTAATAGTAGCATGTAACTGAAAGTTGTTCTAGATAAAACTAAATATACAAATAAATGATTAGGATTCAAGAATTTTCACAGTACTGGCATATTGCTTTTGTTAGTGGACACTTCTTTCCTGTTTTCGTATAATGTAGGACATGTGGGTAGAAATGCAGTAGAGAATTCTACTGGAAATCTCTGTGTATGAGAATAGAAGTGCGTTCTTTGTGATCAGACTGTTACTTGGCTACTCCCTTTTTTCCACAGTACTTCTTAAGGAGTCAACTGCCCTCCAAATACATTTTTATAGCACTGATTAAACTGTATTGTTGTTGTTATTCTCAGTTTACCTCTATACTCTACCAGTCTGTGATTACCTACAGAGGAAACAAATCATTTTATCTGCATGACTCCAGTTACTGAATTTAATGTATGTGGAGTTTTCTGATTAGTTAAATAAGTTCCCAGATTCAGATCATAAATTACATACTGGACATACAATACTAACTAGTAGAATAATGAATTTTAGCTCCTATCAGATTCAGATATATAGAAGGTATATAATGTTCAAGTATTCCATGTTAATAAGATTAGGGAGAAAGAAACAGCCACAACAGATTGAACCCAGGGGCATTTTACCACTGAATTACATCCCAAGTTGTGTGTGTGTGTGTGTGTGTGTGTGTGACACAGGGCATTGCTAAATTGCTAAGGCAGGACTTGAATTTGCTATCCTCTTGTTTCAGTCTCCCAAATCACTGTTAACAGGGTGTGTACCACTGTGCCCGGCAGAAAAAAAAAAAAAAACCTATTTTAAAACTGGTCCCCATGGATAAGACTTTAAAAATTGTCATTTTAATAAACAAGCTTAAAAATAAGTATTTCTATTTTTGAGAATGACCAAATTATAAAAACTACCTTTGAATTGTATTTATTTTCTCTTCATCGTTTCCTTGATCCATTACACAGACCCAGTGATCATAGAGATCTGATGAAAAAATACTTCCTGGAATATTTCGTAGAAAATCCTTAAACAAACAAACAAAAAACCAAATATTTTAAATCATTCTCATTGAAAATAGGTGTTGGATAAATTAGAAAAGTTAAGTCTTCTGGTTCTTTTAAGTACACAGAACTCTGTGCCAACTCTCTATTAACTTGTACACACAGATCACATGCTTTGATTTTTTTTTCCTAACAAGAAACCACTGGGATAATTAAAGTTGGGATTATGGTAGGAAAAATAAAAGGCAATCTATTTGTGATGAAACCTCCTATTTTGTATACATTTTAGCAAATTAGTACAATGTGACAGGATCTGGCAGTAAACTATCCTAAATCCTTTTTTCTATTTTTCCTTTTTTTAAATAGCTAGTTCAAGGAAAGGCACCAAGATATCTGTGAGGTTCATAAGTTGGTAACATTCAGTCACTCTATATGTAATTATTTATATATGTGAGACAATGTTTGATGTGCTTGGAATAGAGAAATAAATAAAAGTCTGTTATTTTAAAACAATACCAATGGTGGTAATAATGTTCTACAACTTTTCTTCCTGTATTACCCCACAGAAGGTATCTCACGTATTTCAGGCGAGACAGAATTCTAGGTGATGTCTGGGTTCTAGGAACTTGGGAACAGTACTCCTAGTATATTATTTTCCTGGAAACTCTATTCTGCTGTCATCTTGGCAGGGCTAGGTGTGTAGTAAGACAGACTGTAACACAAGCAGGATATAACCATGGGCATTGCTGTTTGACCTTTATTTACAAAAAGTTTAAAGTAAACTAAATGTGGTCCTGGTCCTAAAGAGTTGGTTGTGGCTAATTCTGTGTTGATTTTTGGAATGGCATTAATAAGACCAAGGTTTCAGTCTGATCTCCACCTTGGTAAACTGTAGGCAGAGAGAACTCCATTTAGTATCTGAGTACTATACCCATGGTTGATGATCCTCTTGAAAATTCCTGTTTTAAATATTGAGACATGAAAATCTGAAATTGGGCAATTTTAACTTGCTAGGAAAATAAATCAATAATTTTAACCATGTGCCTTACAGAAGGCAGCAATGTACAACCTGTTACTTACAGCTCAAATATTATTACTAATACAGGAATTGTGGCAGCTTATTGCTACAGTCAGCTAATTATGTGGGCATCTCCTCCTTTGCTAGAAGCTCTTCCAGGACTGGGACAGATCCTCACCTACTTTCTGCACATCATCATCAAGTTCGGTCCCAGCCAGAGAAGAGGCCATTAGTGAACTCTTTACTGTGTCATATGGTTAAATATTAATGAGGGACAAGGAAGTCAATCAACTATAATTGAGATGCTCAGATAACTTTAAGAACTTCTTTGTGGTCATGTTACTCTACTACCATAATTTTAAAAAATAGAGTGGCTAATAAGAAAAGGGAGTAATTCAAAGTCTTCCTCTGTCTAGCTGTTTTATTATATCTTCCAGTAAAAAATGTGATTCAGCTATGTCGTCACAAAAGTTACCTCTTTTTGGGTAAATCTACTGAGTTTTCATAATTCCAAACTAATTTTAGTTGCTGTATCCACTTTAAAATTCAGATTGGGAGAGGAAAAATCTGTTTCTTAAAAATGGGGTAGTGACAATAGCTCTTTTTAAATCTCGGTGGAAAACACTCTTATGATCTGTCTTGAAGAAAAACATCATTAAATCTTAAACCTACACTTGAAAGATAATAACTCGCAACATCTCAATGAACTCTCCCACAGCTGGAATAACAAGTTACGAAATAAAACCACCATTACAGCTGACAGGAATGTGAGAGCTGGTTCTGAATTACAACTAGTAACTTAAAGCATTGAACTGAAATTCTCCCTTTCAAAACCAGGACCTAGGTAATGAAAACTTTCTAATTCATCTGAGATTCTATAGATTAAATATGAACTTTTCATCAAAGATCTGAGAGATCAAAGTTATAGTGCCTCAAGAAATTTTTGTCCAATTTTAGTTTGAAGAGTTAAGCTTATATTTGAACAAAACCAATTGAATTGAAAAAATTAAAGGAATACCTAAGTACCGCTTCAAAATAGTCTTAAAAACAAGAAAACTTTTGCAAAACAAATTTTAAATTGATAGTTATCTTCTTTCCTAGAAACTATTTTGAATTAGATGGGAGTAAAACAATTACATAACAAAACGAGTTACTCAGAACCCATTTAACGCGACTCTTTAACCATTAGTGTCATTGTTTTTGTGTTTTGCATGTTTTTGGACAATTAATATTCCTGTAATTTGAAACACAACTTAGCTCTTCTAGAACATGCTTTGCAATAGACTTAATAATTCAGCAAGGAACTATTAAGAATTGTGGTGATGCAAAGAACATGGCAAGAAAAATTTTCTAACTTAGGCTTTACCTTTCTAAATTAAGAGATGGGTGAAAATCCAATTAAATGAAAAAAATTCATGATACACACACACACACACGCACGCACAGCATGCCATGTATATCTTTATTGTATTCCAGGTTTGGACAGTAATTAAAACTCTGTGCAAAACAGATTAGATTACTCTAGTTCAAATACCTCTCAAATGATATTTTATTGCATAAATTGACAGCAGGGTTTGTTTAAGGGTAGACTTGGCCCATTTATCAAGAAATGCCTGATTTTTAATATGAAGTTGGTTATATAAGCAGCTGGCCACTCAGCTGGAGTATGAGTTTTCCTTTGTTTTTATTCTGTAGGTCCTAGGCTTGCAAGGTGGGACCATTACTACCCCTGGCCTAAATATATCCCAACCTCTTGAGAGATGGGAGTCTGAGACATGTGTTTGGCAACCATTGCTGGGGTCAAAAGCTCTGCTTAAAGTTGATTTTTTGACCTGAGGTTTCCCAAAAATATAGGGCATTTCCAGGAGTGTAGGGAAGAAAATATTAGAACTCTCTATAGGTGTGACTTAAGTAAACATGGGTGAAGAGTAAGAATCAATGCGGTAAAGAGAAAAGAAGGTCCAGATGTTGCAGTCATTCCTACTCCACTTATAAAGTAGAAAGAATTAGAGAATGAAGGGAAGGAATATTTGTGGGCATGATTATGGAAATAGAATTTTCAGTGGCCTTACTAACTTTGTTTTAGTTGTAAGGCAAATATTTGTTTATTATGGTAAACTTCCGTGACTATCTTCAACAGCTTAATTAAAGTTTACTTTTTAAAACATTGTCTTCATTAGGAAAGCAGTGAGATAAGAAAACATGGTAAACATACTGTGTGTATTTTGACTATTTTAAATTTTAATTAAATTTTCATTTTGTGGCAGAAGTGAAGATTATTGTAGGAGGGAAATAATTAAAGCATATCTGATATGTCATATTGGTGATAGCTTTAAATGTTGTAATGTTTTTTTAACACTTACATCCCACAGGTATTATGTCTCTTTGCAAACAGAAATAATGTTAATAATGAAACAAACCATGTATCTTGTGCCTATGTGATGGGGTGCATAAAGGGTGAACTTTTCTTACCTTTAAGACAGACGCTATCACAAAAATAGATTCACAGTCTAGGTGCACTTCAATTCCAGAATTCAGTTTCTCTTTTAGCTCTCTGCAGGACTTCATATTGGCTGACTGTCTGAAGATGCCTTTTGTGAGGGGGCCTTTTTGATTAAGAAAGAAAAGCATGTCCTATGGGAAAACAAAGGGAAAAAACCCTAAATGGTACTTCATACATACAGAGGTCAGTTTGAAAGCCCTGAAGGATTAGAGCCAGATGGATAGCTAGAAGGATTCAGAATCACCAACTTTTTAGAGCATAAAGCAGTGATTACTAGGGGCTGGGAACATGGTGGGGCTGGGAACATGGTTGAGGAGATATTGACCCAAGCATACAAAATTTTAGTTAGACAGGAAGAATGAGTTCAATTGATTTATTGTATAACATGGCAACTATAGTTAATAACGATGTATTCTTGAAAAATTGCTGAGTAGTTTTTAGTGTTCTCTAATTTTGCTTCTATCTGTGTACCCTGTACTTTTAGTGTAGGAAGTAAAGGGAGTTTTGGGCACAAGCAATCTATGAGATTTGAAAGCTATGCCACTGATTTACTGTGTAATCTTGGGTAAGATTCTAAAGTTTCTTTCCTTTTTAATTTGTAAAGTAAGAATGATGATGATAATAATTATTCCTCCCTTAATTTGTTGTGAAGGATAAACAATAAAGTGACTTGTCCTAGTGTCTGGTACTTAGAGTGCACAATATAGCATAAAATGCCACACATTTACTACAATGTTAGAATACTGGATATTCAATAAATGTTATTTATCAGTGATTACTTAATACACCAACTGGAGAAGATGCAAACTTAGTGCTTTTTGTTAGACTCTTTCTATAAGAAAAGATAACTAAATGCCAGGGGATACATCTTGATGTACAAACACTTGAAATATAAGTAAACCAGTTTTTAAAACTTCAAGAAAGGAAAGATTGTGAAGTTTCTTCTATTAAAATGTTAAAAATAAGGCTTTTCAGAACATTCTGGAGTTCAAGAAAGGATTTGTGGGGATAATGTAGATTCTTTGTCTACAGAGCAAATTCTAATTTATCTGAACAGGTTTAATATTGCTATTTCTTGAGCCAGTCGACTAGATCATCTCTTCCTTATGATTCTATAATCGCTCAATCATATTTTAAATTTTTTCAGTAAAAATGAAGATTCTTAGCAAAAGGCAGGGTTATCTATAATTTTCCAATTTGAGGAGAGATTTACCTCCTAGGGTTCTCCCTTCCCAAACTTTCCCATTAGCTTACCTTCCCAAACAACACTCACCAAGACAGGTTTTGGCAGGTTGTCATTCTCACAAACATCTGGGAGAGACACTCCAAAGAGCTGTCCCGACATAGGAGATGTTGGTGACGTAGGCAAGTTGTCCAGATGAGTGCTAGAACCCCGCCAAAAGGCCCAGTGTATGATAGATCTTCTCCTTTTAAATGTCTTCTGACCAGAATCTAAGAAGTGAAATTATTAAGAAAACTTGTTTAATTCACTTAACCTTATTTCTAGAATTTCTATTTTATACTGTTACAATGGCTCAAAGAGAGAAAATGCTTATAGATGTTCTTTATTACTGACAATACAGTCTATAAAATTTCACTATAGTATTTTACAAATTAAGGAAGAATTAAGTGTTTGGGTTCTTTTTCTACCTGTTTTTGGGACGTTACCAGACTGTTGGCTTGAGTTTTGGCACTAAATTTTCAAAGGTGAAAATTTCAACTGTAAAACTTAAAGCAAAAAGTAATTCATACCAATACATTTTCCCACTTTATTTATTTTTGTGGTACTAGGAATAGAATTAAGGACCTCACACATGGTAGGCAAGTGCAGTATTACTATGCTATACCCCAGCTCACATTTTTTCCAGTTTAAAGATTAGGGGCTGGGATTGTGGCTCAGTGGTAGAGCACATTTGTGAGGCGCACTGGGTTCAATTCTCAGCACTGCATATAAATAAATAAATAAATAAATATCCATCGACAACTAATAAAAAATATTAAAAACAACGAGTAGGGGCTGGCTCAACAGTAGGGCGCTCATGTAGCACGTGCGAGGAGGCCCTGGGTTCGATCCTCAGCACCACATAAAAATAAACAAAATAAAGGCACTGTGCCCAACTACAACTAAAAAAATAAATATTTTTTAAAAAATGAGTAGTCATACAAAAAAAGCTGAGGATTGCATTAGAATTAAATAGTGAGAAAAAGCAAGGAGGAAGAGCGAAGGAAAAGGGGGAAAGGAGCTGGGAGAAGGAATTATTTCTATTAAGTTGTTTTCCAGAAAAAAACAAAGCTTTATCATGGATGTCTCACCACTCTACATTTGAAAACAGAGATAGAAAGCTGATGTCCTAAAATTTTTCCTTTCTTTGCAAATGTAAAAACTCTCACCTATTTTTTCAGTTCCTAACTTTATGCACAGCTACAAACATGAGTGAATCTTGTCCTGGCCGCAGTGAATTTATAATCTAATAAGAAACAAGGCTGGTGGTGGTGAGGAGAAAAACAGTATATTAATAAATAAAATGTTAAAAGGGGGAAACAAAATATCAAAGGCATTCAGATGAAAGCAAATCACATCTACCCAGTAGGAGGGAGAGGAGTAATTCTGGAGGCATTTGCATTCCATTTGGATTTTGAAAGATCAAGATTTCAACAGATGGAACATCTGGCACCATGCTCTGCATTAAAATTGAGAAGAACTTTATGTGGAAAAAGATATCATTAGCAAAATAAGCAGAAGAAAGAAAGATGGACAATGAATTATGACTTCACGACACCATAGTGCCAAAACATTTTTGGTGTCATTTGTGTTTAACTTTAATATGAAAGCTAATGGGTTTTCATATAATATGAAAATAAAAAAGACCTTTAAAGTTCCTTTATAAAAGTGCATACAGCACTGAGTTTCTTCTTATGGCTTTTAGCATGAGGATAGGCGGTAAGAGAGAGTGCCAGAAAGAAAACCTGATAGTGGAAGCCCAAGTACTGTAAATAAATTCTGTCCACATTCTGGCTGCTACCTGAAGTAGGCATTTGTGGGGCAGATTCTAAACCGCTTGCAATTAAGGTTAACAGAGCCACAATGCCACTCATGGTACGATGCAAGATGCAAGTGAGAGTGAATGGGATTGGTCATCAAACTCTGGCTGTGTGGCATTGTTTATGTGACAGACATACCTAGCACTGATGCTTAACTCTCCAAAATTCCCTGATAATGCAACTGAAGAAGATGATCCAAGAACAGAGTCAGCAGTGTCAAATACTAATTTCAATAAGTCTTTTATACTATTTGCTATAAAGTGATGCAGTACTTCATTTGTTTCAAAATAGCCAAAAATGAAAAAGGCCAAGTTTTGTGAGGATAAGCTAACAAGCAACACCTTATCAAATGGCCTTATGATGACCATGATTCACCTTACTCTTATTTAGATTACAGTAAGTATGTCATCTCTGTACACTCAGGTGTGCAAAAGTTCGAAAGTCTGTAGCCTGGTCTGACTCCTGGTTCAGACACTCATTTGGGCAAGTCATTTAACCTCTTTCTTCAACTTTAAAAGGAAAAGGATCTGACTTATCTCTCAAAAGTCTTATTGAGAGGGTTATGTAAGATAATGTGTGAAAAACACTATTTTGCATAGGGCATGGGTCAAAGTGATCTTGAGTAAAGCTGTCATAATACCAATCTCCTCTCAGCACCCACTCTCCATTCATTTAGAAGCCTTTAAGAGGTATGCAGACATGAAACAATATCATTCTTCTCCTCAACTAAAGCATTTTCTTCCTATTCTGACACTCCCAATATCCACATAAACACACACACACACACGAAACCCTTTCTAAGGTCAGGGAGTTTCTGTATGTCTAACAATTTGTGCAAATGTTTGTTTAATATATATGTTATATATACATTTAGTACCTGTACTCAAGTCTGGTATGTGCATATTTAACCTGGTTTTACTATTTCTAAAACTATCATATTAGGCTTTTAGCTTTCAGGCACTTTAAAAAAAATTTAGTTGTAAATGGATCTTTTATTTCATTTATTTATTTATATGCAGTGCCGGGGATCAAACCCAGGGCCTCACACATGCCAGGCAAGTGCTGTACCACTGAGCCACAACTCTAGTCCCTAATGCACTTTTAAAGAATGTTCTATCAATAAATTACATACTCAGATATCTCATGAATGTAGACAGAGGATAAAGTAGAAACTGAGTCCTTTATTTTATTCTAAAGACTTTCAGCTGCAGCCTTGCCTTTTGTTATGTTGTGTACAACATTCAATATGAAAGTTCAGATTCCCTCTGGGAATGAGAAGAAAATTTCATTAAAGTTTACTTTCTTGCAGAGCTTACAGAGCATAGTGCTTACCTTCTAAATGTTGAAGGCTGATGAAAAAAACATGCTATTGCCATAAAAAGGGTGATATAAATGTAAAGCAAGCTAAATTCATATAAATATGACTTTCCTAAATAACTCTGGCAAGATTTTGGCTTAGTGTTTTTTCATGCTTAAATTAGAAAACTGAATATTTGTATTACAATTCATAAAACCTTATAGGTCACAACACCAAAAGGTTTTAATTAGAATTCTAGTCTGGCCATATGACTTTCTAAATTAAGAATATCACCCCCCCCCCCATGCTGCCCAGAGTAGGAAATTCACATAGGAGAAAAAACCGAAATAATGGATCAAAAAGGTAGAAGAAAAATACGTGTTCTATATTTTACTATCTACCATAAAAGTCCATTTCAATTCCAGTTTAGTCCTGAGTCTCAAGCAGATGTGGAAAGTCAGCCTGGGGGGTGAGGTGGGGATTAAAACTGGGAATCAGTTCAGGATGGAACCTCAAGAGCTACTTCAGACCCTACTCAGATCCTACTTAACCTCTGGAACTATTTCACTCCCCTATAGTTTTTCCATATTAGATGTACCTATGCCATTCAATCTTTGACTTTTGCTCTGTCCTATACACTAGACTAAGCCCTGAGATAAGTTCCCATGCTTAAGAGGCTAACAGTCTTAAAGATACATGTAGACACATAAACAATCATAATGTAATTTTTTTGTGTGGTGCTGGGGATTGAAACCAAGGGTCTTGTGCATGCGAAGCAAACACTCTACCAACTAAGCTATATCCCCAACCCATAATGTAAATTTTTTATGTTGCAATATGAAGTGCTCTGGAGACATTACAGAAGGGGCAGCTACATGTCTGAAGAAACAAAGATACCCTAGAAATGATGTCTGAGTTGGGTTTTGAGATCAAATATTTGAATGTTTATATCCCCATTTACTCTAGAGCTGTCTCACTGAGGATCAACCACCCCAAAGATGAGTGACACTAATCTAAGTCTCAAGGGTAGCCTTCTGAGAGACCAACTGCTATTCAGTTTTCAGTGTAAGACTATCTAGTAGTAGATCTTCTCCATACGAAGTAGTCATTACCAACCTTTTTTTTTTTCAAATTTCTATATTCACTTAACAGGGAAATTTTTCTTAAGCTAATTAGAGAAGGCATCTCTCAGAATGAATATATGGAGCTTTATCTGTCTAATGGGGGCTTATTTTATTCAGGAAACGTAGAAGTATAATTATTGTTCTCAGCTAACACTAACAGAAATTATCTTTTTTATGCCTTTACTAGCCATAGAAACAAGATACAATTTTCCACATTGGAGACCATGAAAACTATCCAATTCCTTGGACTAAGCAACTTAAGAATTTGAGTTGTATGGATTTCAAATATATAGGCCACAGGCAGAGTGTGATGGACAGAGACTATAACAAAGCTACACTTGGTAAATAAGGCCAAATTCTATAGTATGTGCTAAAAAAGAAGTAAATATCAGTTCATTTTCCCTAGTAGAAGTCAGATCACTAGGCTGCTATATATGTGAAAAGGGAAGGGAGAGGAAATGAAGAATTTATTGTTGTTAAACTCATTTCCTCCTAAACCTCTTATGTTAGGGATGATGAGTGGGTCACAGAGGATGGGGAAGGTAGTAACAGAGAAGGGAATTTAAAATACATTAAATTTTGATAATCATATAGTCATATTTTCTATATCACAATGAAGCTGTGGGAGTACTACAAATAATCTCAATTTCTACAGTAGCATGTTGGCTTTAAATAAAAACAAATATCAAGCGCAGTAATAGTAGCAGTGGGAATGCTGACAGAAAGATAAGCAATAACTATGTAAATAAAGTAGCCTGTTTTATGAAGTGAGTTAGTGTTAACAGACTCTCATAATGGAGTCGTTAGGTTTCCTGTTCTTGAATCTCCGCTCTTGTGACTAGACCTATGTGAGGTTTCAGCTTTATAATGCTGGGCACAGTCTGTCTGATCAGAGTAAATGAGTAATAAGGTTACCTTAAATGGTTGTTTTGAAGCACAAAAAATGTTCTATAAACTATTCAGTTCTGTGTAGAAATAACTTGATAACA